TTAAAATTTAATATAAGAATATTACAATATTAATCATGTTACTTTGCTATTTGGTCGCGATTTTACATAATATCATTAATAATTTATGTAAAATAAAATACTTGACATTATAGTGTCAAGTATTACCTCTTGCCTTGACACTTGACCAACACCCCAAATACTTGAATGTCAAGTCAAATACTTGACATCTGGTCACACTGGTGCCGATACGGACCAACTGCCGGCGCTTATACCAAAAATAGTAATCTCATCCTTATCCCCACCAAATAAATGAATATTATCTCGGACCTATTTTTATTTTAAAAAATAAAATAAATGAATAATAAACATATTTTCTTTAATCAGAAGTCATACCCATTTAAGACCCAACAACTGGTCATATAATCCCAAATTTCCAGGACTGGTCTCATCGCCACCGTATAGGAAACCTAAGGGTCCGACCCTATAGTTGACCGAAACAACGACCACATCATTGGTGGCCAAAGCACTGGCGTTATTCATCTTTTGAAATATTGAGCCCAAACTCAATCCCCCGCCGTATATGAAAAACATGACGGGTTTTAAAGGACTCTTATTCTCCACATTAGGTGTCCATACGTTTAGTACCAAACAGTCCTCACTTGTGGTGATTTGACCCATCACCATTTCCCAGCCTTCCATCACAGGCTGTATACATGAGTTTCCGGGTAACGTACCATCAATTATGTCCTAAAGTTATTTTACGATTTATGTAAATCTATACAATTTACAGTATATACTCTTAATACTTAAACTAAATTAATTTTAGGCATAATTTATTTAATAAATTTTGGATTAATTTGAATTATAGTACAGTATCACTTATAAAATAATATAAAAATTATTACCTGTTTAGGGGTTTTGAGGGGTTGTGGTGGACTGAACCTTCGTGGGCCCACCGGGGGCTCAGCATAAGGTATATTCAAGAATTGATTGATGAAGTGATTCACAACATTCAGTGTCTGTCCCCTCACTCCACCCGAACTCGTATTCACGACNTCAGTGTCTGTCCCCTCACTCCACCCGAACTCGTATTCACGACAACACTATTACTCTCATCGCAAACACACCGAACAATGCACACCACTATTACACTCACTATTAATACAACATTTAATTTATTAAATGTTAGCCTTTTTATACAAATAAGCTAATCTATATATAACTTTACAAAAAATTGTTTTTACAAACTTTACAGTAAATTGAAAATAGTAATTTATATTGATTTTATAGTTTAGTATTTACAACAGAATTACTGTCTGTCTGATGCACTAATATATTAGAATTTATTTATTATAATCATAAGAATAATATCACTGGTAGTACTCGTACGGAATGCACAAGGCAGTACTTGCACTTAATGCAAGGTCATTTAAGTTTTGAATAGATCATGAACACTGCAACTATTTTTATGCAAGTATCCTATTTTATGTTTACTGTTTGTGCTTATTCATTATTAAATTTAATATTTATATATAATTATAAATATTGTAAAAGTAAATTAATATTAATTTAGCATTAAATATCAAAATATATAATTATTAATTCTGATTATTAATCAGTGATTAGCATGAAATTCAAATAAAAAGGGAGTAAATTTTGTTAATTTTGATGATTAAACTATTGTCAAAATGAATTTCATTAAAAATATTGACTCCAAATGCCATCACAAGTACTTCCGTAAGGATTATCCAAAACAAGTGACATATCGTTGGGATTCAAGTCTTTCACTTTTGGCACTGAATTCGCGTCCGAAATGTCTATTAGTTTCGGCCAAACATTGTGTGGTTTTCTATTAATAGAAATATAAAAATATTTAATTAAAAATCCTTTTCAGGTCTATTAATTATTTAAATTTAAAATAAAGCCATAACTTATGAATACCTATTTTTGGCAAAATCTGTCCATATCTTCATTATTTCAATACTGAAGTCATAATCAGTTTCCGTAAACATTTGCTGATTTATGAGGGGAAGTCCAAACACAAAAGCGCTGTCCGCCCCGTGACATACAGTATCGCCGGTGCAAACACCTAGATCAATTATATTAAATGCACTACTCTGGTAATTAAATCTATAAAAATAGACATTTTGTCCACTTTTGGCAAATTGTTTGGCGAAATGATAGGTCGGACACGTGAGCAATAGATCGCCGTACAGTGCACTCAACGCACCCCTCAATTGGGACTCATTTGTTGTGTCAATACTTTTGAGATAATAATCGGACACTTGATCCGCATATTTATTACGGTATTCAACACTGAAATCATTGA